GTACATACTTACAAGCCTGTTAGCATTGCCAAGAAATTGGAGGTCATCCAATATAGGTTCTTATAGAGTGATTCTAAGGACCGGAGGAAATACCATCTTATTGCATGGGATGTGGTTAAATAACCAATCCAACAGGGTGGTTTGAGATTTTTGGTGAGGAGAACAAGGCTCTTCCAAAGAAATGGTTGTGGAGGTTTATGCTGGAGAGTGATGGCTTGTGGAGAAGAACAATTAGGGTTAAATTTGGCACAAAAGACTTAGATTGGTTTACAAGGATTTCTTTTGAACCACATGGTTTTAGGTTGTGGAAAGATATGCATGGGGAGGGAGGAATTTCTGAAGTGCATTAAGTGGAGGGTTAGGTCTAGAGAGAGAGTGAAATTTTGGTATGAGTGAGTGGTTAGATGGTGGGATGCTTATAACCCAATTTTCCCAGAATTTTGTGCTTGCTTGCATAAGGTGGACATTGTCCACGAGGCTTTCCTAGTCCAGAGGGAAAATGGCTCGTTTGTGGAGATTTCTCAGAATCTCAATAATTGGGAGGTTGATGAATATTGAATCCCTTCCGGTGTTTCTTTCAAATCCTAATGGGGACAAAGATCATTTTATCTGGAGGCTTAACTCAAAAGGGACTTTTACTATGAAGACCTTTTACATACATCTGATCAAGAAAAATGGAACCAATATGCAGCAGCCTGCAGAGTTGATCTGGAAGGTTAAGGCGCCATCAATTGTTGCTTTTTTCAATTGGGAGGCAGCTAGAGAATGTATTTTTGCCTAAGTTGATCAGGAGGGGAAGAATCTTTGTCATGGTTGTTACTTGTGAAATAATGATGCAGAATCATTTATTACCTACAGGGAGAAGGTGTTTGACACAATCACCACTAAGATACAAGAATCTTTCGTCCTGTTGAAACCCAAAGGCCTACCACAAAATCCTATTGAAAACTGTGTCACTTGCCACTACAAGAGTGTTCAACTGATGCCTCTCTCACTCTCGGCATTTTCGGAAACAACATCTCACACTGCCACTTAATCTACTATCACCTCTTCAAGCTAAGCCTATTGTAGGAACCCTTATGCTTTTGTGACCAAAAAATTTATGGATGAGCCCCATACGCCTGTAAGCCATGAGTGAGCATTACAAATTTGTGCTCTTTTCTTGACTTTTAAACCAATTTTGACTGGACTTAGTCTCTTGACCAGTTTACGTGTTAGTCAAACTAGTTCATTTATTTTGTTCTTTATTACAAATTCCAACTTCAGAAACAGTGACTAATGCTGAATTGAACTTTAAGTGAGAGGAATAGGAGACTAATGCTAAAAAAAGGTCCCCTAGAAAAGGAATTATATTCAGAAAGAATAATAGACTACTCCTAGAAGTTTATATGGATTCAGATTATGCATAATCAGTTATAAACAAAAAATCTACTAAAAATATTATATCTTCCTTGGAGATAACCTAATCGTCTGTAGAAGTAAGAAGCAACATATGAGTTGCTAGATCAAGTGCATAATCAAAATTTTAAAGGATAGCACAAAGGATATGTGAACTACTATAAATAAGAAGAATTTTTTAAGATCTTATGATCAATATGGAAAACTTCATATACCTATATTATGACAACAAGTCAACTATATGTATTACACACAATCCAGCGTAACGTGAATAGACCAAGTATATCGAGGTCGATAGGGACTTTATCAAAGAAAAACTCGATAGTGACCTAAATTATATTTCATACATGTCTATCAGTTCTCAACTAGCTGATATGTTGACTAAAGGTTTTAGCAATCCAATATTTCAAACTCTTATTTGTAAAATGAGATGGACAATATTTGTTTCCCGATTCGAAGGACAATGTTAAAGAAATTGTAAATTAGGTTAAAAAGTGTATGGTAAATTACACTTTATATAATTAATCGTAATTAATTAATTATTTCCTTTTTCATCCTAGAAAGTTTTTGTATATAGGACTGTAATATTCAATAGAATACACATTTTAGAAAGTCTGTGTATATATACTTTTTAATATTTGCTATTAAAGAGAATGACCAAAGAAAACTAGGAAGACTAATGTAGAATTAGTTATGTCTAGATAGCATAAATAAATTATTGATTATGGGAATTAATAAAAGGTACTGCCTATACAACCATGTTGCATATTCCAATCAAGAATCATAAAGAATTG